TAGCAGTAGTAGAAGTAGAAGTAGCAGCAGCAGTAGTAGCAGTAGAAGTAGCAGCAGTAGTAGCAGTAGCAGTAGCAGTAGAAGTAGTAGAAGTAGCAGCAGCAGTAGCAGTAGCAGTAGTAAAGCAGTAGTAGAAGTAGCAGTAGCAGCAGCAGTAGCAGTAGAAGTAGCAGCAGCAGTAGCAGCAGTAGCAGCAGTAGCAGTAGCAGCAGTAGCAGCAGCAGTAGCAGCAGTAGCAGCAGTAGCAGCAGTAGCAGTAGCAGCAGTAGTAGCAGTAGCAGCAGTAGCAGTAGAAGTAGCAGCAGCAGTAGCAGCAGTAGCAGCAGTAGCAGCAGTAGCAGTAGCAGCAGTAGCAGCAGTAGCAGTAGCAGCAGTAGCAGTAGCAGTAGCAGCAGTAGCAGCAGTAGCAGCAGTAGCAGCAGTAGCAGTAGCAGCAGTAGCAGCAGCAGCAGTAGCAGTAGTAGCAGCAGTAGCAGTAGCAGCAGTAGCAGCAGTAGCAGTAGCAGTAGCAGCAGTAGCAGCAGCAGCAGTAGCAGTAGCAGCAGTAGCAGTAGCAGTAGCAGCAGTAGCAGTAGCAGCAGTAGCAGCAGCAGTAGCAGCAGTAGCAGTAGCAGCAGTAGCAGCAGTAGCAGCAGTAGCAGTAGCAGCAGTAGCAGCAGTAGCAGTAGCAGCAGTAGCAGTAGCAGTAGCAGTAGCAGCAGTAGCAGTAGCAGCAGTAGCAGTAGCAGCAGTAGCAGCAGCAGTAGCAGCAGTAGCAGCAGTAGCAGTAGCAGCAGTAGCAGCAGTAGCAGTAGCAGCAGTAGCAGCAGTAGCAGTAGCAGCAGTAGCAGCAGTAGCAGTAGCAGCAGTAGCAGTAGCAGTAGCAGCAGTAGCAGCAGTAGCAGTAGCAGCAGTAGCAGCAGTAGCAGCAGCAGCAGCAGTCTACATAAATTAGATTACGGTCCATACTTTACACACAACTCATTAATTTCAGTTTCAAAAATCATACTATTTACTAATGTCACTTTGATTGCTTTATCGTCTATTTCAAACCAGAATTAGTAACTAAGCTAGCGCCCTTTAAGCTAGCGTCACTATATTTGGCAGCAATTGGGTCAAAAGGCTAAATGGTTAATTGGGATTCCACCTCAATTGAAACAGAGGATTAATGTTGTCCTTTGATACGCACATGGACAGGCCAACCACTCTGCCAACGGGACCAGGAAGTGGCTAACGGCTAACGAGTCTCTCACGGCTAACGGCTAACACGTCTCTCACGGCTAACAGCTAAAGCATCTCTCTGGCAGCCTCTGTAGCAGGAGCCAAAACACACACACTTCTGGTCTGGGCCGCTTCAGAACAGAACCTGCGGCGGCAAAGTCTGAAAATAGTTTAGAGATTAACGTATTTATTTTGAACCAGCACAAAACAGTTTCAGATAAAATAACATCCTGCAATAATACACTACACTATCACAGACTCTGATAGACCCTCTGGTCTCTCTCTGGTCTCTCTCTCTGGTCTCTCTCTGGTCTCTCTCTCTGGTCTCTCTCTGGTCTCTCTCTCTGGTCTCTCTCTGGTCTCTCTCTCTGGTCTCTCTCTGGTCTCTCTCTCTGGTCTCTCTCTGGTCTCTCTCTGGTCTCTCTCTCTGGTCTCTCTCTGGTCTCTCTCTCTGGTCTCTCTCTGGTCTCTCTCTCTGGTCTCTCTCTGGTCTCTCTCTGGTCTCTCTCTGGTCTCTCTCTGGTCTCTCTCTCTGGTCTCTCTCTGGTCTCTCTCTCTGGTCTCTCTCTCTGGTCTCTCTCTCTGGTCTCTCTCTGGTCTCTCTCTGGTCTCTCTCTGGTCTCTCTCTGGTCTCTCTCTGGTCTCTCTCTGGTCTCTCTCTGGTTTCTCTCTGGTTTCTCTCTCTAGTCTCTCTCTCTGGTCTCTCTCTCTGGTCTCTCTCTGGTCTCTCTCTGGTCTCTCTCTCTGGTCTCTCTCTGGTCTCTCTCTCTGGTCTCTCTCTGGTCTCTCTCTGGTCTCTCTCTCTGGTCTCTCTCTGGTCTCTCTCTCTGGTCTCTCTCTGGTCTCTCTCTGGTCTCTCTCTGGTCTCTCTCTCTGGTCTCTTTCTGGTCTCTCTCTGGTCTCTCTCTGGTCTCTCTCTGGTCTCTCTCTGGTTTCTCTCTGGTTTCTCTCTCTAGTCTCTCTCTCTGGTCTCTCTCTCTGGTCTCTCTCTGGTCTCTCTCTGGTCTCTCTCTGGTCTCTCTCTGGTTTCTCTCTGGTTTCTCTCTGGTTTCTCTCTCTGGTCTCTCTCTCTGGTCTCTCTCTCTGGTCTCTCTCTCTGGTCTCTCTCTGGTCTCTCTCTGGTCTCTCTCTGGTCTCCCTCTGGTCTCTCTCTTTGGTCTCTCTCTGGTCTCCCTCTGGTCTCCCTCTGGTCTCTCTCTGGTCTCCCTCTGGTTTCCCTCTGGTCTCTCTCTCTGGTCTCTCTCTCTGGTCTCTCTCTGGTCTCTCTCTGGTCTCTCTCTCTGGTCTCTCTCTGGTCTCTCTCTGGTCTCTCTCTGGTCTCCCTTTGGTCTCTCTCTTTGGTCTCTCTCTGGTCTCCCTCTGGTCTCTCTCTGGTCTCTCTCTGGTCTCTCTCTGGTCTCTCTCTGGTTTCTCTCTCTAGTCTCTCTCTCTGGTCTCTCTCTCTGGTCTCTCTCTGGTCTCTCTCTGGTCTCTCTCTGGTCTCTCTCTGGTTTCTCTCTGGTTTCTCTCTCTTGTCTCTCTCTCTGGTCTCTCTCTCTGGTCTCTCTCTGGTCTCTCTCTGGTCTCTCTCTGGTCTCTCTCTTTGGTCTCTCTCTGGTCTCTCTCTGGTCTCTCTCTGGTCTCTCTCTGGTCTCCCTTTGGTCTCTCTCTTTGGTCTCTCTCTGGTCTCCCTCTGGTCTCTCTCTGGTCTCCCTCTGGTCTCTCTCTGGTCTCCCTCTGGTTTCCCTCTGGTCTCTCTCTCTGGTCTCTCTCTCTGGTCTCTCTCTCTGGTCTCTCTCTGGTCTCTCTCTGGTCTCTCTCTGGTCTCTCTCTCTGGTCTCTCTCTGGTCTCTCTCTGGTCTCTCTCTGGTCTCCCTTTGGTCTCTCTCTTTGGTCTCTCTCTGGTCTCCCTCTGGTCTCTCTCTGGTCTCTCTCTGGTCTCTCTCTGGTCTCTCTCTGGTCTCTCTCTGGTCTCTCTCTGGTCTCTCTCTGGTTTCTCTCTGGTTTCTCTCTCTAGTCTCTCTCTCTGGTCTCTCTCTCTGGTCTCTCTCTCTGGTCTCTCTCTCTGGTCTCTCTCTGGTCTCTCTCTGGTCTCTCTCTGGTCTCTCTCTGGTCTCTCTCTGGTTTCTCTCTGGTTTCTCTCTCTAGTCTCTCTCTCTGGTCTCTCTCTCTGGTCTCTCTCTGGTCTCTCTCTGGTCTCTCTCTGGTCTCTCTCTGGTTTCTCTCTGGTTTCTCTCTCTGGTCTCTCTCTCTGGTCTCTCTCTCTGGTCTCTCTCTGGTCTCTCTCTGGTCTCCCTCTGGTCTCTCTCTTTGGTCTCTCTCTGGTCTCCCTCTGGTCTCTCTCTGGTCTCCCTCCTGGTCTCTCTCTGGTCTCCCTCTGGTTTCCCTCTGGTCTCTCTCTCTGGTCTCTCTCTCTGGTCTCTCTCTCTGGTCTCTCTCTGGTCTCTCTCTGGTCTCTCTCTGGTCTCTCTCTCTGGTCTCTCTCTGGTCTCTCTCTGGTCTCTCTCTGGTCTCCCTTTGGTCTCTCTCTTTGGTCTCTCTCTGGTCTCCCTCTGGTCTCTCTCTGGTCTCCCTCTGGTCTCCCTCTGGTCTCTCTCTTTGGTCTCTCTCTGGGATCTCGCGTCTCTCTCTAGTCTCTCTCTGGTCCTTCTCGCTACTCGCTCTCTGGTCTCTCGCTCTGGTCTTTCTCTAGTCTCTCTCTCTGGTCTCTCTCTCTGGTCTCTCTCTCTGGTCTCTCTCTGGTCTCCCTCTGGTCTCTCTCTGGTCTCCCTCTGGTCTCCCTCGGGTCTCTCTCTTTGGTCTCTCTCTGGTCTCTCTCTGGTCTCCCTCTGGTCTCTCTCTGGTCTCCCTCTGGTCTCTCTCTGGTCTCCCTCTGGTCTCTCTCTTTGGTCTCTCTCTAGTCTCTCTCTGGACTTTCTCTAGTCTTTCTCTAGTCTCTCTCTAGTCTCTCTCTGGTCTCTCTCTGGTCTCTCTCTCTGGTCTCTCTCTCTGGTCTCTCTCTCTGGTCTCTCTCTCTGGTTTCTCTCTGGTTTCTCTCTCTTGTCTCTCTTTCTGGTCTCTCTCTCTGGTTTCTCTCTCTAGTCTCTCTCTGGTTTCTCTCTCTGGTTTCTCTCTCTGGTCTCTCTCTCTGGTCTCTCGCTGGTTTCTCTCTCTGGTCTCTCTCTCTGGTTTCTCTCTCTAGTCTCTCTCTCTGGGCTCTGGTTTCTCTCTCTGGTTTCTCTCTCTAGTCTCTCTCTCTGGGCTCTGGTTTCTCTCTCTGGTTTCTCTCTCTAGTCTCTCTCTCTGGGCTCTGGTTTCTCTCTCTGGTCTCTCTCTGGTCTCTCTCTCTGGTCTCTCTCTCTGGTCTCTCTCTCTGGTCTCTCTCTCTGGGCTCTCGCTCTCATTATGTTTACCACCAGCACCATTACCATTTGTTACATAATAGAAGGCTCCTAATCTGAGACTCTCTCGCTCTTAATCTGAGTCTCTCTCCTAAATAATTCTTTGAACTGTGACCTGGAGGTGTTGAAAACCTAAAATCACCACACAATAAAACTATCATTTATCTTTTTAAAGCTACTCTCTGTAACTTTGTCTCTCTCTGTTTCTGGGAGATTTTAAAGGAGACAAATACCTAAAAAAAATTACAGTCCCACTGAGGTTTCAAATCTTTTTTAAGGGTAAGGGGTTTGTCTACATGTGTTTAGTGGTAGGGAAACCGGAGCACCTGGAGGAAACCCACACAGACACACAAACACCATGTAAACTCCACTCCAGAAAGGCCCTGATCCAAAGCCAGGACTTTATGAATCGACTTAAGACTTTGTTCTTGTGTCTCTCAGATGCGTACCCGGTGTCCGAGGTGGTCTACACGTGGACAGAGGGACACGCCAAGTCCGTGGTCGTGGCGGAGGACGGGTCCAGACTGAACCAGTACCACCTCCTGGGACAGACGGCCGGAACCGAAGACATCCACACGAGCCGAGGTGACTACACTCAGGGACAGGGATCAAAGCTACATCCAGTCCGTCTGTTTGAAGGACTTGGGTTATTATTATTTTGTTCTGCTGCAAAAGTGTCAGCCTGGTCTTACTGCACCATGGTACTCATTTCATTTGTACTAAGGTCTGGATTTGCTCCATTGACTCCGTTAACAGGTGGGAGGGGCTAACTCCTTTTGCAGATTGAAACCATTGGATCTGAGTTTACCGTGACGTATGTAATGAGCCCGAGTGAGTGAGGCATTTAGCATTTAGCCTAGCTTTAGCATGTAGCCTAGCTTTAGCATTTATCCTAGCTTTAGCATTTAGCCTAGCTTTAGCCATCTCCTTTGCCACTAACGGAGCCCGAGGGGAGTAGAGCCACAACTTCTTTGCAGCAATGACATTTTCTTGCAAAACATTAAGGCTAAACGGACTACAGCAAGTTGTCGTTGTGCCCAAACATGCAGGTGGTAGACCTCTGAAGCTAAGATGGGCAAGGCCTGGTTAGTACTGTGATGGGAGACCTTGGGGAACACCAGTTGCCAAAGTGGGGCGGCTGCGGCTTCCCCCACATTAGAATGAGTCTGGTGTGTGTGTGAATGGTTGGTGGTGGTGGGAGGGGCTGATGGCACAGACTGGTTGCCTCGCTTCTGTCAGGGTGCCCCAGGGCAGCTGTGGCTACAGTAGAAGTTAATCCTCACTGTGTTTGGAGAGAAAGAATAATGATGTGAAGAGACTTTGAGAGTCCATATTATTATTACAAACATTTTCAAAGATATTTTTTAAGGACAACTTTATAAAGGGAGAAGCAGCACCTCCCGCTGGTCAAACATTGGTCCGAGCTTCACTCTTGTTTCCCGTCATTACGCCCGGTATTGTCTCTCAGTGACCTGTGTGGAGCTTTGTACCCTTCCTCTCACCCACATTTTTGCTCGGTGCAAATGAGACTTCACTTTTACCAAACTTAGCCGCTAACAATGAACAGAATGGACTCAAAGCTGATGCTATTTCTCCATCTGTAAAACACCTGTCGCTCTCTCTCTATCTCTCTCTCACTCTCTCTCTCTCTCACGGCCAAGGGAGAGAAACCCCGCCACCGTCTCTGAGCCGTAAACCGCAGATTATAAAAGATCTTTAACGTGTTGCAAGGCGTGCGAACATGCGAGTCAATGGGTAAGAGTGGCCTATCTCTCACATCACCAGCTGTCCCACCCCCCTCCCCCCCTACTCCCCCCACCCTACTCCCCCCCCCCCTCACACTATGCACTTTGAACACTGACAGATAATCCCCCCTGCATCCATCTCCACCAATCAACTTTGACATAAGACCATGACAACACAGACGGACGCAGCCGATTGGTCAGTTTACCACAGCGACTGTAAAGAATATGAATACTGTATGTATTTATTTATATAAAAATATGTGTGTGTATGTGTGTGTGTGTGTGTGTGTGTGTGTGTGTGTATAAGCACATGCTATGGGGATGTTTGCAAGAGAATGGACCAGATTGAGACATGGCAGAGACAGAGAGAGCGGCAGGGGGCGGGGCTTGCACAGACCCCCACTTAATGCCGTTATGTAAAAGGCTGTAATACACTCCGTAGTAGAATTAAGAGTTGAACTGTGGTGTTTCATTAGGCTAACTCAGCGCTGCGAGGCTGGAGTGATGTAACAAGGTTCACTTTGAAAGATCAGGCAGAGTTCAAACAGTTTGTGCATCGATACCGGAGGCGAGTGTGGATCAGACGAGAGAGCACACCAAAAGTTAGCTTGTTACCACTTTCTTGTTTTGTATGGTGTATACATATGTTTAATACTGTAATTACTGTCTATGGATCCAGTCTTTAAGTAAGTAAGTAAGTAATCTTTATGTATATAGCACCTTTCACAGACCAGAGTCTCAAAGCGGTTTACAATTGTTAATTTTGGGCATTTGTCTCTCACTCCACACAGAGATGGGAGCAGGGTCAGTACAGGAGGCACATGCCAGAACTATTGTACATATTTTTAGTGGTAGGGGAAACCGGAGCACCCGGAGGAAACCTACGCAGACACGGGGAGAACATGCAAACTCCACTCAGAAAGATCGATATCGATATAAAGAAACACAATTCTCGACGTATTTACCAAAGAAAATAGATCAAGAATTTATTTGCCATATGCAGTAAAACCCAGTATTTAAGTATTTTATTTATTCTGTCACCGTTATTCTCGTTGACTGCCAATGGCGTAATTGTCTGAGACTTTTGTCAAACTCCCCTCTTTTCGACCGGGGATTACAGGAGAACAAAACAAGCTAGAAACAAACTTATTTTTGCTGCTGAAAGTAGACAATAAAGTCTTTCAGAATCTGGTTTCATATTTCACATTGTCAGAGCACATAATATTCTGTGGGTCTTGAGAATCAGTGAAATCATCAAAAAACGGCTGGCAGTCAATGAGTTAATAAATAGATAATATTAAACCCATTTCTCCTCCACCGAACTGTGTCCAAACAACTAGACTTGACACATTAAAGTGATAGTCTGTAACTCTAAATGAACTGCAAATTTTAGGAAATGTGTTAAATTGACCTCCTGGCCTTAATTGTTGATATAAAATAAGTCATTTTATGAATTCTAATATCACGGGTAAGTCCCGCCTTCCCTTCTCTTAGCTATAGCTCAAAATCCACGATGCCGTTGAAGTTAACCAATCGAGTCATGCCAAGGGCTGTCAATCATCGGCGCTGATGCTCAGTTGTTTGTTTTCACGGAACCTCCGAATCAAGCCTCTATTATATACTGAACCTATATCCATAATCATTTATATACTGAACCTATATCCATAATCATTTATATACTGAACCTATATCCATAATCATTTATATACTGAACCTATATCCATAATCATTTATATACTGAACCTATATCCATAATCATTTATATACTGAACCTATATCCATAATCATTTATATATGAACCTATATCCATAATCATGTATATACTGAACCTATATCCATAATCATTTATATACTGAACCTATATCCATAATCATTTATATACTGAACCTATATCCATAATCATTTATATATGAACCTATATCCATAATCATGTATATACTGAACCTATATCCATAATCATTTATATACTGAACCTATATCCATAATCATTTATATATGAACCTATATCCATAATCATTTATATACTGAACCTATATCCATAATCATTTATATACTGAACCTATATCCATAATCATGTATATACTGAACCTATATCCATAATCAGATCCTCTGCAGATGTGTCCTATAATGTTCAATTCATGATAATAGCACTTCCTGGTTTGCCACGATCGTTTTTTGTGTGAATAAAAACATTATTTTTTTCATTAAACCTTTAACAGATAATTCTGAAAACCTCCGTCCATGTGTATTAATAATGTATATGTATAATGTGTTCTCTGATTAACATTTAAAAGTATTATGGAAACGTAAGCGTAGACCAATCAGAAAAGAAGGGGGAGGAGCTTGCGTCGTTTTTTTTAAAATCAAGTACCTCTCTCTCTTTCTCTCTGACAAACTCCAGACAATCACTTTAATATTTCCTTGGAGAAAAGCCAAAATCCAGGCCTATTTGCAGCTATAAAAAGGCCACATGTGACATCACCCGCAGCCCTCTCCTGCCACTCGTCCCGATCCGGATCCATTTCCAAAAGGTCACACACGAGCATCTATTTGCCCCAAAGTTTGCTTGACATTATCACTGTTTGCCCCCGATCCATCACAGAGCAGCTGCCGTCCCGTCTGCTGCCGCTCACAGCCCAAAATCTCAGCGCAAAAAGCATCGGGACGGAAATAGCGGGACTTTATTGGCTCCGGCGTCGAAAGCTGGAGTTGGAGAGAGTCCAGGGAAGAGGCAGAGAGCGATGAGATGCAGATGGAGGTCAGGCCGAGTCCACTGGGTTAATTTACTTCTGTCTGTGACGTTTGGTTGTGAATGTGGGAGGTACTGTACGAGACCGGAGCCGAGGGTACGAGGCTAATGGAGTGGCCATAACATTACGACCACTGAGAGATAGAGGGGGAAGGAGAGAGTAGGAGACTGGATAGCATTAGCATAAGCGGTCAGCATTTTAAGTAATGTTTTTGCGGTTTTGAGAAGTCGGTTTGAAGACGATTTTTACTATTTTAGTTGTTGACTAGTAACTTATCTAGATTTGTATTATTACAGTTGTTTACTGCGGCAACGGTAGCTCAGCATTGGCCTTTGAGCCTGAAGGTTGTGGGTTCAATCCCCCCACAAGACCTTCTCCACCGACAGCCACTGATGTCTGCTGTCGTTGGGTCCTCGGGCAAGACACTTAAACCCACTTTGGCTGAAAGATCATGGGTCTACCGTCACTAGAGCAGCCTCACACCCAAGTAAAGATAAAATCCCTCAGTTGTAGCACAAAGAAACAGAACTGATTTTAACCTGAATTTAAACATTGTCAGAGAAGAGGCCCGTCTCACATTTTCAGGAAGACTGCTCCAGATTTTAGATGCATGAATCTGAAATGCTGCCTCCACAAGTTTAGTCCTGACTCTGGGACCAGCAGGAGGCCAGTCCCTGTGCTCCTCAGAGTCCCAGCAGGAGGCCAGTCCCTGAACTTATATCAACAACCAGAACTTCCAATCTCCATCTCCCAAAGCTCACATCAGTCGGAGTTAAGGTTTTTTGCAGCGTGACTTGATTAAAAGAAAATCTCAGACGCCTGCTGTTTTGATCGGCTCTAGACAAAGCAATGAAGCACTTTGAAAAACTTCCATTCAAAAAAGCAGCCAATCACAGGCTAGCCCTGGAGCTGGGGGCCACACTTCTATCGGCCATATAGAGATGCAGCGATAGCGAGAACCTTTAGCCTCCCATCAAACTAACCTCTGTCACAGATAAGGCCTCCGTCATCCTATAATAAAAACATATATAAAGCCTCTGTCATCCTATAATAAAAACATATATACTGCCACTGTCATCCTATAATAAAAACATACATACTGCCCCTGTCATCCTATAATAAAAACATATATAACGCCTGTCCTCCTATAATAAAGACATATACTGCCCCTGTCATCCTATAATAAAAACATATATACTGCCCTTGTCCTCCTATAATAAAGACATATACTGCCCCTGTCATCCTATAATAAAAACATATATACTGCCCTTGTCATCCTATAATAAAAACATACATACTGCCCCTGTCATCCTATAAGAAAAACATATATACTGCCACTGTCATCCTACAATAAAAACATATATACTGCCCCTGTCATCCTATAATAAAAACATACATACTGCCCCTGTCATCCTATAATAAAAAACATATATACTGCCCCTGTTATTCTATAATAAAAAACATATATACTGCCACTGTCACCCTACAATAAAAACATATATACTGCCCCTGTCATCCTAAAATAAAAACATATATACTGCCCCTGTTATCCTATAATAAAAACATATATACTGCCACTGTCATCCTACAATAAAAACATATATACAGCCCCTGTCATCCTATAATAAAAACATATATACTGCCACTGTCATCCTACAATAAAAACATATATACTGCCACTGTCATGCTATAATAAAAACATACATACTGCCACTGTCATCCTATAATAAAAACATATATACTGCCCCTGTTATCCTATAATAAAAAACATATATACTGCCACTGTCATCCTACAATAAAAACATATATACTGCCCCTGTCATCCTACACTAAAAACATATATACTGCCCCTGTTGTCCTATAATAAAAACATATATACTGCCCCTGTTATCCTATAATAAAAAACATATATACTGCCCCTGTCATCCTATAATAAAAACATATATACTGCCCCTGTTATCCTATAATAAAAAAAACATATATACTGCCACTGTCATCCTACAAAAAAACATAAATACTGCCCCTGTAATCCTATAATAAAAACATATATACTGCCACTGTCATCCTATAATAAAAACATATATACTGCCACTGTCATCCTATAATAAAAAACATATATACTGCCCCTGTCATCCTATAATAAAAACATATATACTGCCCCTGTTATCCTATAATAAAAAAACATATATACTGCCACTGTCATCCTACAAAAAAACATAAATACTGCCCCTGTAATCCTATAATAAAAACATATATACTGCCACTGTCATCCTATAATAAAAACATATATACTGCCACTGTCATCCTATAATAAAAACATATATACTGCCACTGTCATCCTATAATAAAAACATATATACTGCCACTGTCATCCTACAATAAAAACATATACTGCCCCTGTCATCCTATAATAAAAACATACATACTGCCACTGTCATCCTACAATAAAAACATACATACTGTCCCTGTCATCCTACAATAAAAACATATATACTGCCACTGTCATCCTACAATAAAAACATACATACTGTCCCTGTCATCCTACAATAAAAACATATATACTGCCCCTGTCATCCTATGTTAAGGCCATTTGATCCACAACCCCCACACACCACCCCCCCACCCCACCCAACCCAAAACACCAAAAACCCACAAAACCCCCACACACCCCACAACAATCAACAAAAAAAAACACCACAACACCCCCCACCCCCCCACCCCCCCCCAACCAAAACACCCCCCAAACACCCCAACAACACCACCAACAACAAACACACCCCCCACACACCCCCCCCCCCCCCCACCCCACCACACCCACAACCCCAAACCCCCCACCACTCCAACTCAAACCCAACCCCCCCACCCAACCCCCCCCCCCCACCCCCACACCCAACCCCCCCCACACCACAAACAAACACACCCCACCCACAACACCAACAAACACAAACCACCCACAACCCACCCCCCCTACCCAAACACCCCCCACCCCCCAACAAAACAACCCCACACAACCCCCACCCCCACCAACCTCCAACACCCACCCCAACCCAAACCACAACCACCCCACACCACACAAAACACACCTCCACACCCACCCCAACAAACCCCCACCCCCCCCACCCAAAACCCCCCCCCCCCACACCCAACCACAAACACACCCAACCCACCACCCAACAAAAAAAACCCCCCCTCAAACCAAACCCCAAAACAAACCACAAACCCCCCCCACCCCCCCACACACCAACCACACCCCACCAAACAAACCACCCACTACACAAAAACAACACCAACCCCCCCACCCCAAAAACCATCAAACCCACAAAACCTAACCCACAAACAACCACAAACCCCAAACCCAAAACCCCCCAACCCAAACCACAACAACCACCCACCTTAACACATCAAACCCCAAACTCCCCCCTCCCACAAACAAACCCCCCCCCCCCCACCCACCCAACCAAACCCATTCAAATACAAAACAATACACTAAATACCACCCCCCCCAAACCCCAACCCCCACACAAACATTCAACCCCACCTCCATTCATACCCCATTCCCCCCTTACCCCCCCCCAATTACCTATATATACAAAATATATCCATCAATATATATATAACCCATATATACTCCAATCAATAATCAAAAAAAACATAAATATATAACTATCAAAAAAACCACACCACCCCCCCCCCCCCCCCCACACCCCCCCCCCCCCACACACCCCCCCCCCCCCCCAACCCACAAACACCCACAAACCCAATACCAACCCCCCCCCCCCCCCTACCCAACCCCATAACACCCCCCAAAACAAACCAAAAACCCCCCATAATAACCACACCCATCCAACAATTCCCCCCCCCACCCACCTACCCCCCACCACCAACCACCCTACCCCCCCACACACCACCTCCCCCACCCCCCAAACCCCACCCATCCCTACCCCCCAACACCCCCCCACCAACCCCCACCCACCCCCACCACCCACACCAACCCACCCCCACCCCCCCCACCAAAAACCAACCACCCCACAAAACACAACACCAACAATAACCCAACACCACACCACAAAACAACACCCACAAACACAACCCCAACCACCCAATCTCCCACCCCCAAAACACACACCACCCAAACACCCTCACAACTAATATACCAACACCTATCCCACACCACACCTCACACACACACACACACTATCACACCTCTCTTCCCCCCATCAACACAACCCCCAATCACACTCCCCACTACACTCACCACACATCTCCCTACACTCCTCACACTCACACTATCACCTCACACACCACACTCATCCCTCTTCTCCACTCTCACTACCCCCCTCTCACTCCACACTCACACCCATCACTATCTCACCTCACCTCTCCCCCTCATCTTTTCTACCCCTCTCACACTTTCTCTCTCCCTCTCACACCAAATCTCTTCCACTCTCACACCCCCATCCACTCCATCTCACCCTCTCACACCCCCACTAACACTCCCTCTCTCTCCTCTCTCACTCACTCTACTCATCCCACACTCTCCACACATCTCACTCACTCACACCCCTCTCACTCCTCTATCTCTCCCTCTCTCTCTCCCCTCTCTTCTCCCCACTCTCTTCCTCTCTCAACCCCAATACCAAAACCCCCCACAAAAACCATATACCCCCCATCCCCACATCCCAACCCTCCCCACACCACCCCCCACCAACCACAAAAAAACCCCACACCAACCAACCAACCTACAACACACACCCACCCACCACTACCCCCCAACCACCCAACCACACCAAACAACCCCCCCCCACACCAACCCAACCCACCCACCCCCCACCCCCCCCCCACACTCAACCCCCACCACCCCCACCTCAACACCCACCACCACCACCCCCCACCCCAAACCCACCCCCCCCCCCCCCCCCAACAACCACAACACCACAAACACCCCCAACAACAACAACACCCCAACCAAACTAACACCTAACCAACCCACACCATACAACCACCATCATCATCAAACACACCCCCTACAATAATTCAACCTCCCCCCTACAAATAACTCCCCCTTCCCAACAACACCCCCAACAACAAAAACCTCACAAATCCTCATCATACACACCCAACCTCATAAACACCATCCACAACACCACCAATCCACAACAAACCCAAAACAACTCCACCCAAACAACACCACCACACAACCAAACACCACCAACAACACAACCAACCCCAACCACAAAACCAACCCAACCCCACTAAAACAAACCCCTACCACAACAAAAACCAACAACAACCTCCACCCAAACAACAACCCAACCACACCACCAACACAACAAAACACCCCCCCCACCCCCAACAACCAACAACCAACCACCACACCCCCCCCCCCCACCCCCCCACCCACACCACCCACCCCACCCAACCCACCCCAACCACAAAAACCCCCCCAAACCCAATACCCCCCACCACCCCCCCAACCCCCCCACCCCCCCCACCAACCCCCAACCACAACCCCACCCCACAACCCCCACAAAAACAAACCACACCCACCAAACACAACACCACACCCCAAACACAAAAACAACCACCACCAACCCCCACCCACCCCCCCCCACCCCACCCCCCCCACCAACCCCACTACCCAAACCCAAACCCCAACACCCACAAAACCAACCACCCCCCCAAAACAACCCCCCACACCCACCAACCCCCCCACCCAAACACCCCCCCCACAAACCCACCCCCCCCACCAAACCCACCCCCCACAACACAAAAAAACCCCAAACCCAAAACCACCAACACACCCCACACAAAAAACCCCACCCACCAAAAACAAAAACCCACACCCCCACCCCCAAACAAACACCAACCCCCCCCCCCCCCCCCCACCCCCCCCCCCACCCATCAAACACCACCCCCACCCCCACCCCCACACCCCCCACCCCAAACACACCCCCCACCCCCCCCCAACCCCCCCACCAACACACACACAACCCCCAACACCCACCCCCCCACCCCCCCCCCCCCCACCCCCCACCAACCCCCCCCCACACCCCCCTCCCACACACACACACACCCCCCCAACAAACCACCCCCCCCCCCCCCACCCCCCCCCCCCCCCCCCCCCCCAAACAAACAAAAAACAACACAAACCACCCCCCACACCCCCCCACCCCACCCCCCCCACCACCCCACCCACAAAAACCACCCAACCACCCCCACACCCAACCCCCACCCCCCACCCCCCCCCCCCCCCCCCACCACCCCCCCCACAAACCCCCACACACAACCCACCCCAAACAACCCCCACCCCCCCCCCCCCCCCCCCCCCCCCACCCACAAAAACACCCCCCCACCAACCCCCCACACACCCCCCCACCCACACCCACACAACCCCCACCACCCACCACCCCCCCACCACCACCTCCCCCACCACACAACCCCCCCACCCCCCACCACCCCACCACCCAAACACCACCCCCCCAACCAACACCCACACCCCTCAACCCCTACCAACACACCCACCAAAACACCACCCCCCACAACCCCAACCCCCCCCACCCCCCACCCCCCCCCCCAAACCACACCACCCCCAACCCCAACAAACAACCCAACCCCCCCCACAAACCCCCCCCCCCCCCCCCCAACCACCACCCACACCACACAACACCCCAAACCACCCACACCCCAAACAACAAATCAACAAACCCAAACACCACACACACCCCCCCCCCACCCCACCCAACAACCCCCACCCAACCCAACCCCCACCCACACCCCCCCCACCCCAACACACCCAACAACCACAACCCCCCCCCCCACCCCCCCCAACCCCCCACACCCAACCCCCCCACCCCCCCCCAAACCACAACACACCACCACCACCAACACCCCCCCACACCACCCCCACACCCCACACACCCCAAACCCAACACCCCACCACCCCCCCACACCACCCACCAAAAAAAAACACAACCACCCACAAAACCACCCCCCCCCCCCCCCCCCAACACAAACCCACACCACCCCCCACCAAACCCCCCCCCACCCCCCCCCCACACACCACCACCACACACACCCCCCCCCCCACCCCCACCCCCCCCCCAAACACACACCCCCCACCCCAACCCACACCCCACCCACCCCCCCACAACCCCCCCCCCCCCCAAACCACCACCCACACACACCAAACCACCCCCCCCACCACCCACACCCCCCACACAACAAAAACCACCCCAACCCCCACACACCACCCCCAAACCCAACAACAACCACCACCCACCCCCCACACCCCCCCCCCACCAACCCCCACCCACCCACCAACACCCCCCCCACAACCACCAACACCAACCACCACCCCCCCCCCCCCCACCCCAACCCCACACCCACCACCCAACACCCCACCCCCACCCCCACCCCCCCCCCCAAACCACACCCCACACCCCACACTATCACCCAAAACCCAAACCCACCACCATCCCTAAACCCCCATCCAACACAACCCTACACAACTAACAAAAACCCAACCCAACCCAACCACAACCCACCCCCACCCCCCCCCCACCCACCAAACACACCCACACCACACCCCAACAAACCCCCCCCAACCCCCAACCCCCCCCCCCCCACCCAACCAAAACACACCCAACCCCCCAACCCCCAACCCCCCCACCCCCACACCCCCCCCACAACAACACCCCCCCAACACCCACCCCCAAACACCCCCCCCACCCCCCCCAACCCCCCAACCCCCCACCCCCACCACAACACACCACACCACCCACCCAAAACCCCCCCACACCCCCACCCCCCCCACCCCCACCCCCCACCCCCCCCCCCCCCCACCCCACACCCCACCACCACCCCCACCCCCCCCCCCCCCCCCCACCCCACCACAACCCAACAACCCACCCAACCCCCCCAAAAACCCACCCCCCCACCAAACCACCCCCCCCCCCCCCCCCCCACCCCAAACAAACACCCCAAACCAAACACACCACACACACCCCAACACCCAAACCCCACCCCCAACAAAAACAAACCCCCCCCCCCCCCCCCACCCAACACAAAACCACACCCCACACACACACCCAAAAACCCAACCCACACAAACCCAAACCCCCACCCCCCACACCCACCCACCACACCCCCACCACAACCACCCCCCACCCACAACCCCCCCCCCAACCCCCCCACCCCCCCCACCACCACCCCCCCCCCCCCCACCAACCCCAACCCCACCCCCCAACCCCCCCACCCCCAAACACCCCCCCCCCCCCCCCCCCACACCACCAACCACCCCCCCCAAACACCACCCAAACCCCCCCCCAAACCCCCCCCACCAAACCCCCCCCCCCCAAAACAACCCCCCACCCCCACACCCCACCACACCCACCAAACCCCCCCCCCACACACCCCCACCCAACCCCCCCACAACCACCCCACCCACCCCCACAACCAAACAACCCAAAACCCCCCCCCAACCCACACAACCACCCCACCCCCACCCACCAACCCCCCCCCCCAAAAAAAAACCCCAAAAAACAACCCA